TTCCACGACAGAAAAGGAATGCCTTGTCATCATCTGGGCTACATCAAAGTTCCACCCCTACCTGTACGGCAGGCCTTTCAAAGTCGTGAGTGACCACCACGCCTTGTGTTGGCTAGCTAACTTGAAGGATCCATCAGGGCGCCTCGCACGGTGGAGTCTCAGACTACAAGAATTTGACATCACCGTCGTCTACAAGAGCGGACGAAAGCACTCCGACGCCGACTGCTTGTCTCGCGCCCCTGTCGATCCGCCGCCCCAGGATGACCAGGACGACGACTCTTTCCTGGGACCCATAAGTACCGACGACTACGCGGAACGCCAACGAGCTGACCCGGAGCTCAAGATCCTCATGGACTACCTGCAAGGCAAGACCGCCGACGTGCCGAAAGTATTCCGCCGAGGACTGGCTTCGTTTTTCCTGCGAAACAACGTCCTCCTGAAGAAAAACTTCTCGCCGCTCCGCGCCGACCACCTCCTCGTGGTACCTTCAGCGTTACGTCCAGAGGTTCTGGAAGCATTACACGACGACCCGACAGCCGGACATCTTGGTGTTTCCCGCACACTGTCACGAATACAAGAGAAGTACTATTGGCCTCGCCTCGCTGCCGACGTCGCCCACTACGTAAAAACATGCAGAGACTGTCAGCGACGCAGGACGCCGACAACTAGGCCAGCCGGACTTCTGCAACCCGTCGAACCACCTCAACGGCCATTCCAACAAATCGGCATGGACTTACTGGGGCCGTTCCCGACGTCGACTTCTGGCAACAAATGGATTGTCGTAGCGACTGACTACCTCACCCGCTATGCCGAAACAAGGGCCTTGCCCAAGGGCACTGCCGCCGAAGTCGCCATGTTCTTCATTGAGAACATCGTCCTCCGCCACGGAGCCCCCGAGGTCCTCATCACCGACAGAGGTACGGCCTTTACGGCTGACCTAACGCAAGCGATCTTGAGGTACAGTCAGACAAGCCACCGCCGAACCACTGCGTACCACCCACAGACGAATGGCCTCACCGAGCGTCTAAATAAGACCATCGCCGACATGCTGGCCATGTACGTGGACGTCGAGCACAAGACGTGGGACGCCATACTCCCGTATGTAACCTTCGCGTACAACACGGCCGTGCAGGAAACGACGCAGTTTGCTCCATACAAGCTCGTCTACGGACGGAGCCCAACAACGACGCTTGACGCCATGCTACCGGTCGGCACCGACGAAGAAGACCTCGACGTCGCCAGCTACCTGGATCGCGCTGAAGAAGCTCGACAGCTAGCCCGCCTGCGTATCAAGAGCCAACAGACGGTCGACAGGCGCCACTACAACCTTCGACGACACCACACCGAATACCATAGGGACGGCTTTAAGCTCTCCCATAGTAGAGTACAAAGTACTCTAAATCGTTAACCACTTATTTCTAAACACACATTTCAGGATGGCTCACTGCTCTCCCATAGTTTAATTGAGTACGAAATATACCCCAAATCGTTGAACTTCTTTAAATGCGAAGCATTTCTTAGTGAACTTCGACGACCTTTAGCGTATATATTTAACTATCTAGCCGCCTATTTTTTAGCTCTCCTGGCCGTATAGATTACTGACGTTGAGTCTCCTTTTCTGGTTTTCTGGAGGCACATCGGTGGAGTAGACGAAACCGAAGTCATTAGGGACGGCTTCAGGCTTTCCCATAGTCGAGTACTAAGTTCCTCGAAATCGTTGAACTTTTTTTTTAAACATCTTCGTCAATCTGTGAGGTCCGCGGGACGGCGTAATGCTCTCCCATAGTTGAGTACCCGGTACTCTAAATCATTACCCACTTTTTTTAAACTCACATCTCTTGAAGGCCTCCTTCCTGTGTGTTCCCACGGGACGGCTTTATGTTCTCCCATTGTAGAGTACCAAGTACTCTAAATCGTTAACCGCTATTTCTAAGCACATCACTTGGCTTTAACATGCCATGATTAATGTTCTCTTATAGCAGAGTACCAGGTACTCTAAATCGTTAACCACTTTATCTAAACACCTTGAAACCACTCGCTTCATGCCTGACAGTTTCACCTCAGATAAACGGCACGAACGCAAATTTAGGGGCGAAGCTCCTTAAGCCGTGGGTCGTGCGTCCCCTATGTATGAAATAGTAGTACTAGTCAGCCACCTTTTGTTTAGTCCTTGAAATGTCCGCTGGATGGCGGTACTTCTATGTGATCAATATATGATGAAAAGATGCGACATTGCGATACTTGGAGCGTTCATTAGATGGACGGACGGACGGACGGACGAACGGAAGCAAGAACGAGCGGACAGACTGACGGACGCTTCACTGCACTCATCATAATTGAGTCCGTGGATATGTTGTGATTTTTTTTTTTTACCGATGCGGCCTCATCAAGTGTGAGGCCCACGTGGTGGCTTTATGCTCTCCCATAGTGGAGTACCAAGTACTCTGAATTGTCAATCGCTTTTTCTGAACACGTCAGCTAATGATCGATCGAGTCCCTTGGTGTGTTAATTCTTGACTGGGGACGGCTTTCCACTCTCCCATAGTAGAGTACCGTGTACTCTAGATCATGAACCATTTTCTTTAAACAACTCGGCCATGGTATTTAGGTACGGCTTGCTGCCCTCCTGTACGTAAAGAACTCGGAATTGCCAATCATTTTTCCAAACACACAGTCCTGAAGTATGTTACTATATCCGCTTACGGTTCAACAGTAGTGCGGGATTTCGCAGTCAGAGGAGGACAACCCCCCCCCCTTCTCAATCCAATGACGTTGCCGCGTATTCACGACGTTGGAGCCGACAGCAATTCGCGAAGAGAGAAATCAAAACGCTTGTTCTTCCGCTCTGGCACACCTCAAACAAAATGGCCGCTCCCATTGTTCGCGACACTCCATCGGCGTCGTCCAGTGAGATGGCACTCTTGACTTTAGTGCCCTACCACGGCCGCTGGCCCTACGAGGGTGGCGACTTGGGCTTGTTGGTATGGTTGCATGATGATAGATGGTAGGCGCTGTGTTGTGTCTATGTGCCTTCTCTTGTCCGTGTTCGTTGTCTGCGCTACCATCTATCATCACGCTGGCCCTACATTCGCATCCCAATTTGAACTCCACGAAAAGCCTCGTCTGTGCGTTGTGTGCGGTATTCCGTAAATACCGTCACCATGGTTACCAATTAGAATCAATCGGTTGCGGATAAACTCGGAGGAGTAGAAATTCACCATCACCAATAAAGTTGCAATCCGCCGCTCCAGCTAATCGATCAACGCTTTCACGGGTTGCACTATGACAGGGAAATACAAAAAGAATAGAAATAGTCTTCGCTCATAATGAAGACCTCCACAACTACATTACTGCACGGACGCGCTCATGAAAACTTGTATACAGGCGATGCCAGTAGCAACACCACCTAGAGGCAACGCCGCCTATATTGTTAGAGGGCGTTGCCTGTAGGCGCGTTGCCCCTTAGGTGGTGAATTTTCAGAAGGTGTTGCCGGAAGGACCAAAGTGGTCTGCCACGACGTTACGTCGACGCACCGGCACCATTGTCAAAAATAGGGAGGGTGGTGTGCTTTGATTGCGGAAAGCCGCACTGCTCTTGACATGTACTCGAGTACAGCATGTTATGTACGCCCAATCACACGGGCACCAGCGAACTCCGTTTAACTCCGTCGTCAATATGTCAACGGAGATGCTGTATCAGCACTCGTTTTTTTTTTAGTGAGGTCCATGGCAAAGCTGCATACGGCTCTTCCATCGTTGAGTACCATAACCACGGACAACTTGTGTTAGATAAAAAACGATGATGATTCTCGAGACGGGAGGGAAAATACTGGCAAAGAAACATCAATTACTTTAACAAAACGACGTTTATTTAGGGTAGAGTAAGGGAACCTGCAGGAGAGACAAGAGTATGGCGTCTCTGTAGTTGCACAGCCGTCCCTCTTCTGCCTCCCTCAGAACCCACGCACAGTCGAACACCGGCGCTCACCACAAGGGGTTCACTTTGGTGTCACGATATACAGCTCCGGGCCCCGGCCGGCTTCGCTCACGCAGTGGCCATGGCCTGGCGCCATCTTTCGAGTTCCGTTTCGTGCGACAAGGGCGTGCACACTTGGCAGTGCTGGGAATGCTACAGAGCCATACATCGGGCGTATCCTGCCGCTAATGAATGTAGTACCACAGTTGTGTCCCTATGTTTTGCGCGAGTAATAAAAATTACTGCCTTCGTTTCTTCTTCTTCTTTTTGGATGTGGCTCTGACAGAGGACGGAGCTGACACCAGTAAGATTTTAGGCCCGTCGTCAGGCCATTTGCTCGAGCGAACAGGCGTTCGCGTTCCTTCACCACGGTGTCTGTGCACACGATCAACCTAGTGTGTCCCGCCGTGACCCACGTCCCGTCCAATTAAAAGGTTTTTCGGCCTTCTGCCCGGTAACGCTCCACGTCGCGGAAGTAGCGAGTCCGCCAATCGATGATGTCATCCCGGTCGATAAGTAGCGAGTTGCGGCTTCTCTTTTCATGCTTGACTCCGATATCGGCAGGCAGGCGACGCACAGTGCAGCGTCTTACCCCGTATTCTAGAACGTCCCTTCACTCAACGCTTCCCCTTCACTTAAGAAAGCCGATGGGAGCGCCGTCTCTAGGCACGGCAAGTCACTGCATATCAGCGACAATCTGCTGCGATTCTTGAGTAGCACAGCGTCATTTTTGAGCCGAGCTGTGGCGCAGCGCTCAACTCTGTCAAGTGAAGGGTGAAGGTCGAGTCGAGGAGCGTTTGTGAATACAGGGTTTAGTGATGGGAGTTCCATAAGCTCCGAGAACTCGGCGGTCATCTTCTGGACCGTCGGTATATCGTTGCGGCGAAAGAAATCGTGCACACATGACCTCAGCGCGCACAACGTGACGCTGTCAAACTTCGCGCTGCGTCTCCTCTGGTCCGAATCGCGTGGGCGTTTTCGCGAGAGCGTAGTCTGTTTGCGAAGCTCTAACTTCCTCCCTCACCTTGAACACAGTCCTTTCGTTGACACCGAGCATGTCGGCGACAAACTTGCTCGTGTCCTCCCCGCTGCGTTCAGGCTCCCTGTTGCACCAGTACGATCGAAATGCACACACGCCAAGGGCAGGCGATCTCCCGAGTCGACAAAATACGAATATTAGGCATGTTCCTGGAAGAGCACGGCAGTAACTCGCATACTTCGACCAGCGCATCACGGCGAAGGCGGACAGCATGGTCAAACTTATACTGCGGGTATCTAACAGGCATGGATGGCTTTGTGAGGCCAACCTCGTGAAGCTTTTCTATGTCTTTCTCATGAGTCACATAAATTACATTGCCTCAGCACACAGATGTGAAAGAAAAGAGCAAAGGAAATTGGATGCAATTCTTAGAAAATGCGTTAAGAAAGCCTTAGGCCTTCCAAACAACACTTATGTGGAAAAGCTCAAGGCCCTTGGTATGCATAATACATTTAACGCGGTTGCAGAAATGCAACAAACAGCTCAGGCTGAGAGACTGTCCCCTTTTAAAGCTAGCAGGTGCATCCTGGAGTTCCTGCGCTGCGAGCCCGCTTTAGTCGCAGACAAAAAAAAAATGGCAGCATATGCACGCAGTGAATGATGGAGAATAGGGCGAAGCATCCGTCCGTTCATTCGTTCTTGCTTCCATCCGTCCATGCGTCCATCTGTGTGACCGTCCGTTCGTCCATTCGCCCGTCCGTGCGTGCGTCTGTTCGTGCGTCCGCACATCCATCTGTGCGTCCGTCGCTGCGTTCGTCCATGCATCCATCCGTCGGTGCAGCCATCCGTAAGTCCGTCCATGCATCTGTCTGTGTGTCTGTTCGTCCATCTATTCAACACTCCAAGTACCACCATCTCGCATCTTTTCATCATATATTCCGCGTATGCATCACCATCCAGCGGACATTCCAAGGACTAAACTAGAGGTGGCACACGCGCACTTTCTTACGGGTTACGCTTCGTGTAACCACCTCGAGTTCATGGTATATACTAGTTCACTGTATTCATGGCAATGCGGCCCAACGCTCGCTAAACCTTTCTAAAACCAAGGAGTTTATGCCCAGTGACCCTTTCTGGTCAGATAGTGCTCAATGTACATGGCAATGGCTGCTAAGGGGGAATGAGAGACAGGAGAATTCGGCTTTTAGTTAACGCGCACGCTGCGAATTTTTTATTGTTCAACAACGCACAGAAGAAACCTCTCACCGGCACCACCTTGGAGGTCAAAATGTAAGACTGGTTACACACTACGACTACTACTACGACTACGAGGGACAAACGGGTTCCGCTATAAGGAGCTTCGCCCCTGAAAGATACAACTCCCTGCTAAATGGAGGAAACAGATTACGGTATCACTAATTCCAAGAAACGTTCACCCACTTCACAATGTAGGCCACCGCGTTGCTTGGGCTCGGTCGCTTCTCAGTTCCGCTGCTACCACTCCTGAACGTGTGGCGTTCGTTGACGCGGCACAGTGTCCTGGGACAGCCAATTTGGTGGTTGCTGCCACTGACCTTGATGGTAAACTCCTCCCGGCAGCATCCTTTCGAGATACCACGCCGGCCAGGGCTGAGCAGGCTGCTATAGCACTGGCCGTGGCTTTTCCCACGCGCACGTGCATATTCACCGACTCTCGGCCATTCACGACAGGGTCAGTTTGTGAGCAGGCGGCCCATATTCTTATCAAAATTTCAAATAGCACTGCAATCGATGGTCACATCACCTGGTTTCCTGCCCACGTGGGCAAGGATGTCCACCCTGTTATCCCTAATGCAAATGAGTCTGCCCATGCCTGCGCACGCGCACTGTCCCACCGTAAGGGGCAATCGGCCCCTAATTTGGCCGAAGGTCTGCAGCAGCTTGACTCGTTCCTCACCTTCAACGAAATATGCCAGCAATTGTCCAGGCGTGGGCTCCCGCTCCCACACCCGCCACTCTATAGGGTCCAGTCAATCACTTTGCGAATGCTGCAAACCGGTACTTACCCATCGCCCTTAGTTTACAGTAAGATTATGGACAGCATAAAGCCTTCCTGCCCTCATGGCGATGAGAGACGATGCACGTTATCGCACATGCTCTGGCAATGAATGACGCTGCGCGATGGCGAGCTTCTCACCACAGAAAACGCCTGGAAGACTTCAATCACCAGCTCAGACCGGGAGGTACAAATCCGGGCTGTCTATTCGGCCCGCCGTTTGGGGGAGGGACATGCCCTTCCTGTCCCAACGTGGGTGCGGCCCGCAGCCAACCCGCCCTCTTGAAGGGCATCGGCTCCTCAGGACAATTTGTGAATAAAGTTCGTTGACTCACAGACTGGTAATGTGGCCATCGAGGCAACAGAAGGCTCGTACGGCAACAAAGTATCGCGTTCCGATGTCACCTCACTGGGTTCTATTGCGGAAAATATGCAAGGAACAGAGTTATTCAATCATATGAGTTGCGAAACTTCCCATAGGATCTATGTATCGAAACCTAAATATGTCACTGGCCCCCTTGTCGGGAGTGAGCAGATGGTCGCGCCACCTGTTGATCCGTACGCCCACTATTAAACGCATTATTTGTGTTTAGTGTTGCCGCTCTCAGGTAGCGCGAACGTAAGCTAACTTCAAAAAAATTGGGCCAACTGCGTGTCCTAATTTGGAACGAAGTTTCGCAACTCGTTTAATTTAACAACTCTAGCACGAAATGCCATGATGCGCAAACGTGCGCGAACTCACGAGATTACACGTTCGCAACAAAAAAAGACGATTGTCAAAAAAAAACTTGCGCAAACACACAAAAAAGTACATCTTATGCTACAAAACCAGCGACTGCTTTAAAATTACACGCTCGGTGCCGTCGATCTCGCTCCGTAGCAGACGACGCACAGCGTTGTAAATAAAGTCACAGAGTTGTTTTTCTGTTTCGATCCGGCATGTATTGTAGCATTTCCATCATTACAGTTCTACCAAAGCACCCATCGCGATACACAATTCTTATTTATACCAACAAATACACGTTTTAGATGCAGTCACAATTTTTTTGAGCTGGACCATTTTTTTAGTGGCGGAGCGAATTGGCTGCTGTGCTTCGGTCATCTGGGCGGGGCCTCTCCGGCCTTCTTAAGTTGTACCCGACTATAGAGCACAGTCGTCAGCTCTCCGGATGCTGCAGGCAGGTCCGTTCCGGTCTCGTAGCAGGCTCAGTCACTTTTCTGAAGGCATAAACCCAGGATGCCCCAGCTGTGGGGCAGATAATTGCAAACTAGCTCACATGCTCTGGCAATGCCCGGCGATACGTAGCGCAAAGTACGACACAGAACTGAACTGGGAGAGGGCCCTGAAAAGCTCCCAGCTTTCAGTCCAGCTCGGTAGTCCAGGTGGCCTGCGAACAAGGCGGAGGGCCTTGGTCCTCCGCTACCGGCGTGGGCGTGGAGAGCACCTGGGGTGAACCCCCGTTCGGGGAGTGTCTGATATCGTTTGATGTCGGACTCTCCAGGACCAAATAAAGTTTATTTCACTTTCACCGCGGCGAATCGATGCGCGCGCGTAACAGGCACACCATCGAATGTCTCGCTTTTGTATACGTCCGCGTTTCCTTATCCGTGCTCACCCGGCGCCGTTTTGTTGTTGTTGTTGTTGTTGTTGTTGTTGTTGTTGTTCTTGTTCTTGTTGTTGTTGTTGTTGTTGATGTTGGTTTTGTGGTTGTTGTTGTTGTTGTTGTTGTTGTTGTTGTTGTTGTTGTTGTTGTTGTTGTTGTTGTTGTTGTTGTTTTCTATGCCACCGCCGTGGCGCCGACATCGGAATGTGTAGCTCATATAAGCTTAGCTTCGCTTCTGTATGATACCTGCAGGTCGCGGGTTCGAATGCCGCCTGCGGCGGCTGCATTTCCGATGGAGGCGGAAACGTTGTAGGCACGTGTGCTCAGATTCGGGTGCACGTTAAAGAACCCCAGGTGGTTGAAATTTCCGGAGCCCTCTACTACGGTGTCTCTCATAATCATATGGTGGTTTTGGGACGTTAAACCCCACATATCAGCTTCCGCATGATAAAACAATCAGGCGCGATCGAGGCGAGACAGCAAAGGGTATATCAGCAGCAACACACATACACACGTTTGTTATCAAGTCAGGGACTCGTCTTTACGCGGATGCTCGAAAATCCGAGACGCCAGGTGACCGTCATTCGCTGGTCAGGTTTTTTTCCGGCCAAGTACGGGCAACGAAAGAGCTGATAACAATGTAACGCGACATTTTTTATTGTTCATTTTTTTCTTCTTTCCATGTTTCTACACACCTTTTTTTTCTTCGTCATGCGAGTAAGCAATGCCACACTTACGCATATACGCTCTTGCAGTTCTTGTAGTCAGTAAACATTTCTTTATCGCAGCAGAACGGCGAAGAAGTCCCGATTGAATTCGTAAAGTATGCAGTAATTTTTTTGTTTCTCTCGCTTACGAAGAATAAAGTTAACTATCTATCTATCTATCTATCTATCTATCTATCTATCTATCTATCTATCTATCTATCTATCTATCTATCTATCTGTCTGTCTGTCTGTCTGTCTGTCTGTCTATCTATCTATCTATCTATCTATCTATCTATCTATCTATCTATCTATCTGTCTGTCTGTCTGTCTGTCTGTCTGTCTGTCTGTCTGTCTATCTATCTATCTATCTATCTATCTATCTATCTATCTATCTATCTATCTATCTATCTATCTATCTCGCTTACAAAGCATAACATCAGACACCTTTAGATTTCCGTTAATTTTGAATGATACGTGGCTCGCCGTATACTTTCATTTTTGGGCATCGCTGACGTAAAACATAAAGAGTGGCCGAGAAGAGGGGGGGGGGGGGGTCTTAAGGACCCACGCCATTCCTCGTGAAAAAACGCCATTTCGACTCCTCCCCGTTCCTCCCCACCAGTGTAATGAGCCGCTGGCGCACATTTAGCAGCACCTTTCTTTGTGTTTATCTATAGTCGCGCTTGCTCCATATGCACGCGTGACCTGTAAAACCACTCAAGAAATTCATACACACAGATACGCGCACGCACGCGCACACACACACACCTCCTCTGTTACACAAATAGCGGTACTCAAATACGCGCGACCTACACACACAACCATTTTCCCACCGCATCGCAGTCCAGGCCGTTTGCAAATTGACCTTGCGCACGACGCACCTCGTGTGGGGCGATAATGAAACCGGTATCAACGACAGAGCCCCGCTTGCAAGTTTGATTTGCGACTGCAATCGACACGCCTCGGCGGCGTGTGTTAGTGAGTGTGTGAGTAGCGGAGGGTGGTGTCACTAAATCGCTTTTGCATGCGTATCTGCGCACCTCGCCTTTGTAGTTCGAAAGAAAAGAAAAGCTCGGTAAGAGGCTGAGTCGTGTCAGCCACAAGCCTACCGGGAGTGTCCACTTGGACAGAGTAGCCGCGGGCCCTCGCATACGCATATTTGAACGCGATTATAGACGTTTACGTACCATTGAAAGGTCGGTACGATCGGCACAGTGGCGAGTATTAGTGTCGGCGAGCGTTTTATATCGCGGCAAGTGCGTTCACAGCCTTGCATCAAACCCTTGCGAATGAGATGCGGAAAGGCAAACAACAAAAGACGTATATACGTACCTTGCCGTCAGCATGCGCACGGTGGCTCGAACTTTGTAGCGGGCCTGTAATCACACCGACAGCTGATGATGTCCTGCAGCCAGCCCCGCAGTTTCATATTGGCTTTGCAGCCGAAACAGCCGCCGTATCCAGCGCCGCTGTGTCGCATCGAAGTGCAATGTCAAGAAATATGAAATTCGGGCGCCTCCCGAAAGCTATTTGCACTGGCGTAGCAAGAGGGATGGAGGCTCCGGTTGTAGGTTGGTTCCATTCACCTCCCCTCCCCCCTTTAAGTTGTCAATTTTTCATGTATACACATGCACGCACACAAAAAGAAACGCACGCGTAAACATACATAAAAGGTAGTTGTACTCTCCCCCCCCCCCCCCCGTAAACATTTCTGGCTTATCCCCTGACTACTAAGGTCATGTAAATGCACGTTTTTATAGAGCATAAAACATTTCATTAAGCACTTGCGTTACTTGTTACTCCTTTCTGGATTCGTGCACAAATTTTAAGAACTCCAGCACGAAATTGCATGGTATTAACATTCATTGTCCGCTGCGGTGGGTCAACGGTTACGGTGTATTGCTCCTGACCCGAACGAAGGTCGCGGGTTCGATTCCCACCGCAGCAGTCGCGTTTCGGTGGGTGTGAAATGGTGTGCAGTGTCCCATGTACTGTGTGACGCCAGTGCACGTTAAAGAACGCCAGATGGTTTAAATTGCCGGAGCCCTCCACTATACTACGTCTTCCTTAATAATTTCGCGGCGTGTTGGAACTAAGAACCCCAAGTATTAGTATTATTATTGTGCATCTATTTTCGCAAAAACGGTGAACCACATTTACATGCTGCTTGAACGAAGCCCCCTTTCCACAAGGACGCTGTATGTCTATAAATCTAGGGTGTGTATTTTACGGTGTGTTGTACAGAGATGGACCGTATATTTTGATCGTTATTATATACGCATTGACCACAGATGATCATGGCAGAATCCACTTTTTTCATTTTCTCGTGCTGATTGATTGATTGATATGTGGGGCTTAACGTCCCAAAACCAACATACGACTATAAGAGACGCCGTAGTGGAGGGCTCCGGAAATTTCGACCGTGCACCTGGCCAGTGTTCTTAACGTGCACTCAAATCTCAGAACACGGGCCAACAACATTTCCCCCTCCATCGGAAATGCAGCCGCCGCAGCCGGGATTTGATCCCACGCCCTGCGGGTCAGCAGCCGAGAACCTTAGCCACTAGACCACTGCGGCGGGGCTGTTCTCATGCTGCCCTCTGCTGTCCTGGTAGGGGAAAAGAAGGTGGAACGGCTGGAGCGTTGTGGAATGATCAGAGACAACCGGGATGGCCAGAACAAAAGCCTCCGAGATCGAAAAGC